TTTAAAGCTCTCCAGTATGCAGCAGAAGAAGAAATCCCACTTTGATACACAGCTGTTGTCAAAATGCTGACAACTGCAGAGCCCGCAGGACAAATCACCTGGTAGCAGTCATCGTCGTGATTACATTGAAATAAAAAAGTGACTCGTGAGAATGTATCTTCCAAGTAGTTAACAAAACATGCCAGCTCCAACACATTTTGTGTTTTCCATCAGGGTCCGCAGTCATTCTTTAAAATAAAAAAAAGATGATGAATGAATGATGAATGATTGAATATAAACCCTGTTATACTGTATCAACATCAGGAAAACGTGTTGTAGCAGTTGAATCTGAGAAGTTTATAGGCTAGGGGTGATTTCTAGCAATGAGGTCCACCACGCCATTTTATAATTTAAGATGTTGGCGAAAGGCAAGATTATGCTCTTGATAATTTACATTCTAAAACATATATATATATATATATATATATATATATATATATATATATATATATATATATATATGTATAATGTGCTATTTGTCCACTGAGCTATTGGGGTCGTTGAAGGGGAAACAAAACTTTTGAGGCTTGCTGTAATACTGGCAGCTACCATTGTTAAATAAATCATTAAATGAATATTTGAAAGTAAGAATCACTTCAGATTTAGTAACAGAATTGTGAGCAAGCAAACACAAACCTCAACAAACACACATAGCAGAGTGTGGGAAAGTCGACCAGTTAAGTTATGGAGAAATGTTGCAGATGAAATGAGAATGATTTTTTTCAAGGTGATTATTTGCTGAAACACAGCAGATTGTTCATGCCATAGAAATGCTGCATGATGCTAACATGGAGTGGATTAGTCCAGCCTATACTTCACATACAGTGTAACTGCTTTGTCAATTATATTTCGAGGGAAACTCACTTTCAAGAAGAAGAAGAAGAAGAAGAAGAATAAGAAGAAGAAGAAGAAGAAGACGACAAAGGAAAAGGGAAGCAAGTGATGAGAGAAGCATCTGTTTGAGGTGTGAAAAATACCTGCTTAGTGTGCATGGAAGAGGATGAAATAGAGAGAGAAAGGTGTGTTTGAAAATGAAGACGGCTTATGCACGTAACCTTAATGGGACATTTCAATGACAAAGCTCAGTACAGGAATAATGTTGCTGGGTTATGTAAAAAGTGCCGTGAGGTGATTACTGTTGAGATCTTTTCAATCCAGCATTAGACTTAAAAAGAAATGTACTTGTATAAATATAAATAAGTGGGTGTTGACAGTCCAAACAGAGGTCCTCCGAATTTTCAGACACAGTGAGGAAAAACTGCGTATTTGGTTTGGATATTTGAATTCAGCTCCGTATGAGTAATCAGATCATGTCTGCACATGTGCACACATTTTCTGTTCAATTGTCATTCACAGCCAATATGTAACCAGTGACCCTTCACAGAGCTTAAGTTTATCATTTATTGTTCGTGCATTCTCTGTTGTTTCATTCAAAGTCTCAGATTTCAGATGAACTGAATCTGCATAACAATTGCTGTGCTTATTCATGTTCCCAAGAGGAAGGAACCTGTTAGATCTGGGGATTGTTCTCCAGCACCCCCGTCAGGACAAGCTTTGACTCCATTTACAAAACAATTCAATCTTCCGTGAGGTATTGTACTGACTGGGAAAGCTGACAGGGCAGTTCATTTGCCTTTGCTGCAAGAAGTTGCCAGAGGGTAACTAGATATTGTCTGCTTGCAACAGCTTATCTGGTGATGCTTACTGGCTAAAACATGCATTTGACAAAAGTGATTTTTCTTTGTCACTGTAAAAGGGAAAAAGCCCTCTGTGAATTATTCAGTGCAATTTGGTTAACTGTGAAATCCTGGTAGACTGGATGCTAGCGCACTGTCTCCTTTGAGCTTATTTTTTTAGAAACAACAGAAGCTCAATGCAGCAGTGATGTTTGATTTCAGCTTTGATGGTGCAACAGAGTGGTGAAATTGCAAATAAATACACTCAGACCCTGAAATGAAATGTAAATGTTGCCTGACTCTATCTCTCCAAATATGAGTATATTTTTTTCTTACAGCCACAAGGCCCTGGGTAAGATCAGGTCCTAGAGCGTCAGCCTCATAAACTCCTGGAATAATCCTGCAGGAGCTGAGGGTGATCCCTCTCATTAAAGGAAAACCTTTATTGATTTCTCAATCTTTTAAAAATCATTGCCCCTCAGCTGAAAGTTCCCACATAATTTAGATGAGCAGGCGACTTAATCCTTCAATCCTCTAGAGAACACGGCAGGATTTATCAAAACGGCACATACAATTTCATTTTTGTAGCCCGAACTCAAAGAAATGTGAATGAAACAAGTACGGAAATGTTGAAATACATAGTCACTAAACAAATACAGACATGTTCTTCTAATCACAGTACCCACTGCAGTCTAACTGCTGTGAACAGTCTCAAATGGAATATCAATTTTTTGCCCCCAGAGGAAAAGGTACCTCACTATCCTGGATTTGTTGGATTCTCTAGTCAAAGAAGGAAATAAGAACTTTAACAAAGGTGTTTTTTTGTTCTTTTTAGAGAGAGAGAGGCTTTGATGCACAATACCTCCCCACCTGGGATGTATCTTAGAATACTTCAGCTATTTTCCTGTTTGTTAATCTAAGCTGAAAAGAACACAAACAATTTATGATAGGTGAATTCCAGCATTTTAAAGACTTTCTACATAAAAGGTACATGCATTTCAAAGATGCCAAATGAAGACCTGAGAGAGAGGATCTTACTTTTTCAGTAGACTAAAGCTGACACAGGATGAGCGCGGTGTCTTACTTTGGTGTTTTTTAAATGCAGATGCTTATTGAAGTCAAAATAAATCCAATTTTAACGCTCTGTTTTTGGAGGATATCAGCATACTGAAGGACTGTATATGCCTTGAATTTTTAAAAACAAATTTTACAAAGCAAAATCTACGGTATGCAAACTTTCATACGTCTGCCTTTATATTCTAAAATCAATTTCCCCAACACATCACCTAGTTTTATGTAATCTACAGCAGTGCAGCAACACTAATGTGATATAAAACAGACAGAGAGCAATGCAAATCATACTGTACCAGTCGATAGCTTTGTGAGGGGATTTGCAAAGGGAACATCCAGTCCCTACGTCATATGTGATACCTCTGTAGCGTTTTTCTCTCACACATTTCGATATCAGAAATGTATAGAAAATTGAGTGCTACCTGTAGTTGAGCTAAAAGCCTTACACGCTGACATTGTGGTTTTAACTCCTATTACTCGGACACGGCTTTTCAGTTGGCTGTACAGTGAGTTAGAGGTAAATGTATATCCCCACTGTTAAAAAGGGCAAGTACGTTTGGTTTGTTCTTTCAAAAGTCACTTTAAAGAGTTAAATAATAGCCCCATTAGCCGCAGTATTTCAGTGCACCACTCTGGTCTCCAAAACACTGATGAAGGTCAAGCTTAAATGGCTCCAGCTCTCTCTCTAAGCCAGAGACTCCCAGCTTAGCCACAGCTCTGGGAACTGGCTCACACAAAAGATTTACCCCACAATGCTGCTGGCCTAGATAGACACAACTAACACAGAATATGGTGGCTGTGCATAATTTAGAGCACATCTTTCCTACACTGACAAGTCCAAAATTACAAGGGAGCTTGTCAGCCAAATGGAGCTTTCAAATATATGATGTCCATGGGTGAAGATGGGAATGTTAAATCAATATTAGCTAACACGAACGTAGTACTCAGACTTGTGGTATAAAGCCTGGAGCTGCTGCTGAATGTGAGAACATGTGGCCTCGAGGAATCTTTGTTCATTTAAACCAAACTATACCAAATACGTCCTCCTTCTGTAACACAACACGTTTTATTGTACAACTGACTGTTCTTCAACTGCCGTTTCGCTTCAAAACGCTGCGACACAGTCCCTTGGAGGCGGTATATATTCTTAGGTGAGGCATTAGGTGAGGCATTCTTAGGTTCGAGATTTCCTTTCTTGTCACAAAAGTACTTTTCATTTTTAAAGTCAACTGAAGCAACAACTCATAAGCCATCTTAGCCCTGCAAGGGTGTTAAATCCTCACTCGTGTCCTGGTTACATCCCTTTTGAACATGCGCCCTTTCAAGTGAAATTAATCAATGTCTTTATCACTTGGGCAGTGTCATTACCCAACCACAGAGTGAGAAATGAAAGTGCTAATCGCACAGCAAGTGGGGCATTTCTGTGGGAGGGCCAAGTTTTCCTCCTCAAGCTGCTTTGGAAATGTATTTTCAATTGAATGTGTTAAGCGAGTGAAGGGTGAATCATGATTTTACCTCAAATTGTCTTCATGACATCAGCTGTCACTAAAGTTATCCAAACCAGATTCTCTCACAAATACGATAAAATATTATTTAGATGCACATACTATGAAGGTAATTATATACAGTGTATATATATATATATATATCAGACATAACTGGGGCCCCTAATCCACAGCAGAACATACCAGGACATGGTTATTTTCTGTGCACCAATGTCTCATTAACCGTGTCATGTAACCACAGCATACACATCATGATGGTAACGATCCAAGCCCTGCTTGTCATTATGAGGCAAGGGATGAATAGTCCATCAGAAAGTGCACAAGGGCCCTCTGGCTTGATGATGTCCAATAGCAGCTGGAGGAATATCACTTTCCCTGCAGAACTGGGAGCACTGAAAACAAATTTAGTATTTCTGTCCAATAAAGAGAAGTAGTAATGACTGAATGTCTGTCTCTGGTGTGTGTATACATGCAGTGTGTATGTACTTCTATACATTTATTTATTATCTATTTCTGATACTATTGGAGCAACCTTGGCAAATGGCCAGCAGTGTAGTTGTAAAACGCAATGTGTTGAATTATAATTGACCACCTCCATTGATTTTGCTCCAGAGACTGAAGACCTGGATGGCTGTATTTGAATAGTCAAAAAGGAGTGTTGATTTAAACATTTATAGCAAAGAAGGAGGAGAAGAATCAAACATTTTACCTGCTTTCCAAGAGAAATGATGGTCCTTTGGAAACACAATATCCGACTGGACTGAAAAGGAAAGAAGAGACAAGAGGAGGAAGAGGCCGAGGTAGTTCCCAGCTTGCCGCGTCCAGGCAATGACCCCAAAGTCATCTTTTAGAGTCATAGTCCAGCCCATTGCTTCCTCTCTTACTCCTGTGGGATGAACATGAAATTCATCAGTAGGTCACTCATAAAAATGGAGCGAGACGTGGGCCAGAGAAACCAATGGAGGAGAATGTGTGTGAACTCTTTAAAATGGGGGAAGTGAAGGAGGTGTCAGACATTCTGAGCTTTCTGTGTAGAAAATATCCCACTGAAACCTCCAGCCCAGATATATGACTTTCAGAGTCACCTTCCAAAGTGCATAACACTCTCTCGCTCATGAATAATAGGCTGTGTCCAAAATCACTTATTAATTATTATTATTATAATATCCTGTAGAGGACTCAAAGTATCCCACAATGAATGGTTAAAAGTTATGTCTTTATCTGTTCACCATATTTTATTGTAAATTTTAATATTCTTCTATTTTTAAATTATGTCCGATACTATTGCATTGTGTTTATTGTTACACGCCATTCACCTAGTCAAATTCCTGTACGTGTAATGTACTTGGCAATAAACTGATTCCGATTCTGAAAAGTAGTATACAACCGATGGTCACGAACCAAGCAATATATACCATCATGCATTGTGCCGAAGGAAAAATGGCAGAGAGACAAAAGGAGACAGAGCAGTGCGATTGATACAAATCCATGAGTTGTGGCACAACAATTATATATTTAATTTAGGCAGAGCAGCTTATCACAAAACAAACGGCAATTATATGTATTAATTTGGGAAGATGTGCTTATTACCTCTGCATTCACAATGACAGGGCACAGCCCTTTGTGCCTTCCGTGTTTACCTTTCACAATAAAAGTCTTTGACATACAGTTTAAACTGCAGGGAGAACTGAAATTCACTCAGGGCAGTTTGCTAAGAGGAAACTCAATAATATAGCTTAAAATATGTAAGTATCACTAAATTGCATGTCAATATCTATTATGGATGGTCCACAAACCAACGTTGATCTGGGACGTTTTAATTGCGCGACAGCAATGACTTAATTAACGGCGCAGAGAAAATGACCCAAGTAGTGTCCGAAATGTTTTTTTTCACTATATAGTCCTCTATATAGATCTTCTTGGATAGTGAATAAGGAGTAGGGAATGAGTGAATGATTACGGACGCAACCCCTATATTTCTTTTTTAATGCAGCATACGAGTGGTACCATGCCTCCTTCTCCTCCCACATAGACCAAACATAATTAGTCTGAGAGGCTCGATAATCTCAGCCTCCCAAGGTAGAAGTGGACATATGTATTGAGGGAAGGGGAGACTTTAAGCTTGGAGTAATACAGGGTATTAGTACCTTTTTAATGCAGCTCATTTATTCCTATCTCATGCTACTGTGATTCATGTCCTATGAGTGTTAGGGATTAGTCCTGGATTCACCAGGCCTCTAATTGTGTTGTACGGAAACCCTGAGAGGACGCTGAGGAAAAATAAATAAATCGCAGCGATTCATTTTTTTAAGTCTGATCTATGTAGTTTTGTCTCCTGTGTTGTTGGTTTGAGAACAGGTGGAAAACAAGGGTTTGACAGAATAATCTTGTTAAATTCCTTTATTTTTTTATCCGTGAAACAGGTGGGAAAAAGGTTTGCCAGGTAACAAACTAAAAGTTTTGCTAAACACACACGGTACATATATTGTGTGTTGGCAAGTTATGTAAATTGAAACTCACCTGGAGGGAAACATGAATGCTTTTAGTTCTATTTACAACATGGCGTAGTAGTGCGCTTCATTCTCTTGTGGCTAAAATGAGTATTACAAAAACAAACACTAACAATTGATCCTGACAAAAAGAAAAAAACTAAAGAAAAAAATGTAACACATTTTGAAAGATTATTTTGGCAAAACGTTTTTTCAGGCGTAAACACGGGTGAGAAAACAATATGAATGTGATTTAGAAAACAGACCACCCAAAATAATGTATCTGGCCTCTCAGGGCTTCCCTTGCACCAACAGCTAAATAAATAGATATAGAATAGAGTCTGAAACACCGTATGCTTTAAGAGACTGATTCTATGAAGTTCATGACTGTGGTGATTCATTTTTTCCAAACACACATTTTACTGCACTGTAGCACTTGGGTATTGTGACATGTTAATATTACCGGCAGTTTCCTGTCGTTCTGCAATCATGAACTCAGTTTGGTAAAACATTTAAAAAAATGAATTGAGGATGTGCAAACTGAAGATGTCAGGTGGTGCATTTAATTCATCTATATTGAGAAACTGATTCTACAGTAATGTTTGCATTAGTTTCACCAAAAAGCAACCATTTTACCTGAATATGATTGTAAAGTGCAGCAGGACAATATGAAAATGTGTTTTTATTTTTATGTTGCAGATCACCCCGTCACATTAAGTGTACAGTTCCCTTGATAACCTAGTATCATAGAGAGTATCTGATGGTAGATTAACTACTGAGGTAGCAGGCATTTTAGATTTCAGATTATTTACACATGGTGGGTCTGTGAAAATGCCGGGTGCTTGATTATTTCTTGCTTGATTTCATTCAGGGAAATTAGATTTTGACTTTTCTGCTTTAGCTGTGTTTAGGTGGGGGCAAAAATTGTTTAATGAAAAATAACTGCTGGGCGGAGATGGCTTGGTGCCCGGAAATGGGCTGCCAGATGCCCAGTTTTTGATGGACTGTCCAATTTTCCTCTGGGTTTGATGTGTTATTCTATAGTCAAAAGTGTTTTGGTCTCTTTGTGTCAGAGGTGTTTTTAAAGGTGAAATATATATATATATATATATATATATATATATATATATATATATATATATATATCCCCTCTCTCCTGGTCATGAGTTATATAAAACTGATAACTGTATATTTACATTGTATGGAGGACCCAGTAGTAGAAGTGAAATGGTGCTTCCTATTTCTTTGGCCTTTCAGCATACAGCTCTTTGAATTCCATCAACCCAAAGAATAGTTTTAGGGTTACTTGTTCTCGCTGATTTAAAGAACTCATCCACTTTAAATAATGAATCCGACATTTTTCTTCTGTTTTATTAAAGATGCCTTTGTCTCACATTTTGTGATGGCCAGAGAATTTATTGTGTTTGGATGAATGGGCAGAGTTATTCTGGCACTTACACAGCTGTATGCCTATTAGACACCTCTGTTGCTGATTACTAGCCAGCCTCTTGGGCTGCATTTGCTCTGGAAGCCATACCTGACTGCACCCAGATTTCATCCTCCCTCCAGCCATTCTAATTCCACTATTCATGGAACAAGCAGCGCTCTCCACATTCTGACAAAATGTGTCACAACTGATTGGGAAACATGGTCTTGGAACAAAAAAACAAGCAATGAAAACAAGCATGACCCCCAAGGCTTCCAGCTATTGTTCTTCAAAGATAGACATTTGAGATTACCATAGTGTTAGATATAACAACATCTTCAAGTTCCCTCAGTTTAAAGAGCTCGTGGCAATTGTGTTTATACAGCTCAGCCTTGGACTCATCCAGTTTGTGTCATTAGAGGGGGGACTGCAGGCTATCCGGAAAATCTTAAAAAAAAAAAAAGAGAAGCTCTTAAGCTGCTAAATATCTGGGTCAAAGGAATCATGCCAGGCTCTCAGTGGTCACAGAAAACCTTGCAAACAGCAGTGTGGCTCAGATGCTGCTGTGCATCCTATTAGATACTCCGTGATGTGATGGAATGCAATCTGCTTCTCCGTCTCTTGTGGTCCTTGTTTGGGACTCACTCGCTGGATTCATGAAGTAAGAGCCCTGCAGCTACCATAAGGGAACAGATGAGCAACACTCCACAGCCATCTCTTTCACAGGTGGTCACAATAATTAATGTTTGATTAGATCTTTCCAAATGAATGGCAAAAGCTAATTTGGTATGCCAAGGCTCTGAACAATCACCGTGTGATCCTCCAGCCTCTCTTTACATAAGCCAAACAGCCAGTTCTGTCTCGAGTGCAAACAAAGGCATTTGAACCCAGTACGTTTTCCAGAGATGCCAAGCTCTTCCCTAGTTCTCCACATAATTATGTAGCCGACCAGTTCATTCTCTCTTCAGATTCTTAGCTTAAATCTCCTGCCCATATTCCTGTGTTCTTCTTTGTGTACTGCATCCAGCATATTCAGGTTAACACAGCTGCAAGGATTTGTGCCACGTGGTGGTGCATGTAAACGGTTTTGATTGGGTTTGGCAATATAAAAACACAAATTCATTCTCACCCCAAGGAAGCAGATTTTTGCAGATGTTTTCATTGACAAGAATGACCATGAAAGCATTGAAACAATCTGAAATGCAATGCGCAAAACACAGCTGTTTGTATTTCTTTAAATCACTGGCTTGTGGGTGCATCTGCATTCATCCGTCACTATATGGAGAGGTATTTGAGAATATTGCTGTCTGTCTCCATTTTATTCCTGAAATCTTCTGACACAGTTACCACTATTCTATTTAGAACTGTAACACTTACATTTTTGTTGGCTGAACAGATTATGACAGCTCTGAGACACACTGTACATTTGCAATTCCAAAAAGGTTCGTGGAAACTGGCAGCGCTGATTGAAAAGGAGTCAAAAAACAAACATAGAGCCCAGTATCCTGAATCCATACTGGACGAATCTGCACCTCCCAATTTACATCTAATGCCAATGATCACTGCCAAAGCAGGAAATAGTTTGCCCTCTTTATTAGTGAAGCAAATTGTAAGGGGTGGTGGATGGGCGACAAGCTATGTTATGTACTCGTTTCCGTGTCACTTTGATCTGCATTAATACGGCACACTGATCTCCTCAGTTAATCCAGTAATCATTTCTAAACTCAGGCTGTTTGAACAGAACCACCGTCCCGCTGTCATTCCTGCTCACGAGCTTCACCGCAGCTACTAGTGCCCTCACTGCAGAGCAGCGAAGCACTTAGAAGTGGATTCACTCACTTGTTCACTGAAATATTGTTCATTGTCTGGGTATAGCTTGAGGGGAGAAGCTAAAAGGTTAGGCTATTTCTTTAACCAATATCTAGAGAAATAATTAGATGGCTGATCGTCACCATTAATCCGGGTACTTACCCATTCCTCCTAGCAGCACAAAAGATTGTCTCTGAGCGTGAACATTAAAGTCATAGTACTTTATAACGTTTCATTAGCTTACCTATTTAGAAATGTCAGCACGCTGACTGAATGTTTTTGTATTTTCTTCCCACCGTTTTTTTTGCTGCTTCTCGTCTAATTTTCAGTGGGTTGTCGATGACTTTAGTCCATAAATCTTTTTGATCCAAATACTGGTAACAACAGATAATATTACCGACAGAGATAGTACATTACCGAATGCAATATGCTGCACATGCATGCAGTTCATTTGTCGTCCGTCTTCACAATATTGTTTAGTTTTTATTTGCTGACTGGAAAGGTCTTTGTAGTTTGGTCTTTTTTTCTGACCTTTGTGACAAAAAGGTTGTCAGCTAATATCTTTGTCATAGTTTCCTTCGACAAAATTAACAATGGTTGGGACAGATATGACAAAGATCGTATAGCTGCACCTTAGAATAAAACACAGAAATGACTATGTTTCCTCAAAAACAACTCCCAAACTGCAATTACACGTAAATACACAGTATCTTAAACGGCATGGTTTGCAAGTACCTGAGCCAGCTGACTGCCAGTCATCCCTTTGGGTGATCCGGTTGGTGCAGTGGCAGATGTTTTTTTTTCAAGTCCTTCCACAGAAGACAGAAGCAGGGCAGAGGAGGCCTCCAAAGATGTTAAGTCTGACAGGGACAGTAAATCAGCTGTGCCAGGCCTCACGCCCGAAGCATCATGCAGTGGCTTAATCCTGTGTGAATCAATGTGCAGAGGGCTGGGACTGTGTCACACCTCCAACATCACTGAGTGGTATTAACTCCCTGGCTCTGGCTCTGTCAAGTACCCTGCACCCACTGATGTTCCCACAGAGGTTGGCACAAGAGTCAGCCTAAAGGGTCTGAGGTGGGGAAAGAAAAAAAGAGACACTGATATAAACATTTGATACCACAGCACAGTAAAATCTGACACTTCATACAATGACATTCTTAAGATTATATTTCTTTCATATGATGCATTGCGGCTATTTTGCATGGCAGAGGTGTGCAAGAGATACAGACATATAGTCTGTCTTATCTTAGCAGGAAGATCTGAGAGAAAGTTTCTCTGCATATACAAATTGATTATTCTGCGTCCCGAATTTGGATTTGCTGCAGCTATAGAGGGGGAGGTTCAACGTCACTTATGCATCGTATTAGCACAAGGGTGGTTGTTGTTTCTGAATTTTACATTAAACTGCAAGGCTTACAGTCATGATTTGTCCCTGCCTGTGTCACATTCTGACAGTAATATCAAAGACAAGAGTGCAGTCCAAGAGTAACAGCTCAGGATTTTACTCTCTTATGACTTTCAATGATTATATGCCAACCTTCCACCCAAGCCTGTTCCGAGAGCTCATCCAGAGGAAACTCGGATTCTATTAACACCTCCTGCCCTTGTCTCTCATCCAACCACAACCCCTTCCCCACTGGCCCCACCTCTAAGCTTCGCTCCCTTATTGACCTTCCTGGCCACGTTCCTGAAAACCCCAGATTCCAGTGACCCAGACCTTATTTCCCAAGGCTTTTAAGTGCTCTGCCTTGCCATTCCATGGTGGCTCAAATGAGCTTGTCTCTGTAACTGCAATTCTCCTTCCCTGGCTGGCTACTCACTAAATAAAAGCCAACAAATAGGATGGAAGAAATGTGCTCCTGGTGGGTGGAGCAAAATCAATTGTGAACATGCAGTTCCAACAAGGGACAAGCAATTAATTTAATCTCTATCCAATCTCAACCTTGGACTTCTATTACAGCCAAAGTTTGTGTGCTACCTCTTACTGTTTTCTCACCTCTTGGGGATTTCTGGATCTAGATATAGTTGGTATTGCAATAATCATTGTGTACCTCAAGAAAAACAAAGACAACATCTGGGAACCCAGAGTGAATTGTTTGAACAGACGCTATATAAGTCTAGTCTGAACATACATGTTCAGTATCTGAACATGTTCACAGAAATGTGGCAACTTTAAAAGGCAACACAATTTTTTAGCAATGCTGGTGACAGCACTGTTGATCTGTCCAGATTATAGACTTAATATAAGAAGTGGACGTAGTCCCCATAACATCACTCATTGGTTTGTGGACTGCCGTTTGGAAATCTCGAGTTCAGCATTTTGGCCGTCGACATCTTGTTTTTTTGCAACCAGAAGTGACACGAGAGTGTGGAACTAAGTAAAAACGAATGCAGAATTAGACATTTTAAAGTGACCAAAATGGACAAAAACACAGACAATGCTCAAACCAGACAATGCAGCGACCTGCCAGTTTGTCATGCTGTCGAGTTGTATTGGGGAAGTGTTTGAAAAAATCCAAATATAATTCAACTGCACTATAAGCTGTGTCCAAAATGAGCCTAAATTTGAATCAACAACTCTCTAAAGCAGTTTTGACAAACACTGGATGTACCTTTATGAAGGCATGATGGGTATTGTATTGGACTTAGTGTTAGGATTATTTTTAGCTAAGTGTGCCTATGTTAAGCCAACTTATCCGACCATTTCCAGCTGGGACAGCTTAGCCTCTACAGGCCTGTCCTCTACAGGCCTGTCCTCTTCTCTGCTCCACTCCATAGAGTTCAGCCAAAAGACAGAAGTGTTTACCACAGTGTCCTCCAACCTCAACCTGCCTCATGCTTCACACCTTCCGTCAAGAGCTGGTTACCTCCCCCGTTTGGCACTATCCTCCAGTCCCAATGCCAAATGCCCTTTTGACACAACCATAGAGCGTTTGCTCTATACAGCCTACATCACAGGCATTGGTTTCCCTTAATATCCATCCCAGAGAGTGTATTTAGATGTATCATCTGTGGTGTGTCTAGCCTGCCAGTGTTTTGCCATCTCACTGCAAATGTATAGTAGCTGTGAGGCTTTTCTTTTAAAACCTCAGGAAGTTTAAAAAAGTGGATGACATCCGCAAGTTTGTTCAAAACAACCTGACAGAATCTTAGCATTACCCAGCTCAGAATAGCTGCTAATATGACAACCTGTACAGTTACAAAAAACAGCCTAAACACTACACTGAAGTGATCATCAGTGCATCATTTTGGGTGATCAAGACCGACCTAAACTACAAATCTTGCTGATATCAGGATAGGGCAGAATATACAATGCTTATGGAAAATGACTATACCCTGTCAAAATGCTTAATATAACTTTTGTATCATTACACGCTGTACAATAAAATGAAAACGGAATCTAACTTTTTCCCCAGTCATGTTTACACATTATAACCTCAACATTAAAGTGAAAATAAGATTTTTTTTTTTTTAAATGAACAATTATTAATATTTTATTAATAAAATACCTGGTTTGGATATGTGATCATCCCCTAAGATGAACCATTATAAACTCGATCATGTTCAACCAATCATCATCATCGTCTTCAAAAAGAAAATGGATGCGGCCAAGTACACCCACATTTCAGTAAAAAAACCCTGTGTCCTTCTGCGGCCCGGGAATCGGACAAACCCGCAAGCTCGGTGTTAATTTATTTGTACCCACTTTGTGCCAAGTCCCGCCTTAATGTGCTGTGATTGGCTGGTGCTACTACTGCGCTGTGATTGGTGGGCGGACCAGGCGGACCTGACAAACCTGTATTTACGACTTGGTCTGCCAAAGTCCAGCTAGCGACACCCGGCTAGACAGCTGAAGATGAGCGGGGGGGTGGGTTCACCTTCCAGCATGGCAACGGCCTTAAACACACCGCAGAAAGAAATAAAACAACATGCAGTGGCCTTAGGATAGCATGGTCAATATCTTTGAGTAGCCAATGGCCAATTCGGAGGCCTGACCTTAATTTGATTTTAAAAGTCTGTGGATGAACTTGAAGAGAGCAGTCAATCATCACTCCCCACAAAATATGACTATTCTGCAAGGACAAATGTACAAATATTCCCCAATCTAAGTGTGCAAAGCTGACATATTCAACGACACTGATGGCTGCAATCAAAGCAAAATGTGGCTCTACAAAGTAGTAGAAGGGGACGGATCCCTTTTCTATCCTGCTGTTGCTTTTTTTGTTAGTTGAATGTTGTGTAAAATGTGTAAATAAAGCTGGAAATAGTATTTAAATAGGTTTTGATTTTAGGCTTTAAGACAACATTTTTTAAAGAGGTATGATGATTATCTATGGGCAATGTAAAATATTATACCATACTCATGTGAAAATATTCTGCTCATGTGGGTGGATGCTGAACTTGACCATCTCCTGCACATTACCATCTGTCATATGATTTCTAGTTGCCTTCTCTTGCAGTTCATTGTTGTGAACTCTCATTCATTTCATCTGAATGTCTCAAACACAGTTTTTCATGTCTAGACTTGGGAATGTTCACTGACTCAAACCTTAAAAAACACCCTGCACATAAGCAGACAAATGTCAAACTCAACTATGGTACCTTGCCAATAATCATATCACTGAAACAAACCATATGTTTTATGCAATCCTTCAAGAAAATGAAAAAAAATAAATAAATCCCCAGACTGTTAAGATGTTGTATGGGGTTGTATTTGACAGAGAGAGGTATCTCTACTCTGCCAGCACCTCAAACAGTCTGGCAGTCTGGCTGCTCCTGAAGTCAGGGTTGTGAACTCAATCAAAGCATGTTTATCGTTGTGGCACGGAACATACTATGGCTCTTTCTGCCTGCCTCCATGTACTGTAGGTGCAGTAGTTAAGCAAGCTGACAGGGTCACAGCATTGATAAGGACAGGAGAGAATTTGAACTCAGCCACGCCACCCAGCCTCACCGTAAAAAGATCAGAGTATCTTTTTTTTTTCACAAAAATGGGGACTTGGTTTGAGTTTGGTTGAATAAAATAGTTTTAATCTCTATATTGTGATGCTTTCTTTGTTTCCGAATAGTTATAAAGAAAATAGTTTTGGGCTGGAAATTGAATCATTGTATTTGCTGGCCTGGAAGCACGTGTGTCTTTTGACAATTGTCGAATTACAGTGATTAATTACAAAGCAAATGTGATCAGACAGGGTCAATTTGAAAACGGCAAAAATGTGGCACCAGAATGTTTAAATATGGACGGGCTTCAGTGAATCTCTTGATCAAATTAGTTACGTCAAATACTATTACTGAGCAGAAAATCTGTACTTCAGTTCACCTAAGTGTATTTTTGATTTGACTCACAATCTGTAAATTCCTGAGGGATTAACATCCAATGAAAGGAAAAATAAAACCAGGCAAAGCTGTGACCCACAGATCTGTCTCCACTATTGTTGCTCAACTTTAAAATCTAATCTCTGATCCAGAATCAGTGCTGCTCAGTGTGATCTATTTCAATGCAGCCTCACATCTACTGTATATCAAAACAATCCAGTCAGTCAGGGACAGGCAAGCATTCAAGAAAACCTCTGATGTAGTTTAATGTGAACAGATCCTGATGTTTAACATAGAATTGTGCATCAAAGCTGCTTTAAGGATGTGAAAGGTGTGTCATTTCGTATAGCTGGATATTTATGTATCATTCACTTGCTCACACATGTCCCTCTTCAAAGCCTTTAGGGTGAAATTAAGCTAATTCATGTGATGACTAAAACAAAGCCACAGAGCATTGTTAGCCAGATCATTTTCACTATTTTTTTTGACATTCTTAAATATTTCATCAGACATGATAAGGGATCTCAGGGGATGTCAAATTAATGCAGAACAATAGCACAAAGGCTAAAAAATGATAAGCTTTTTTTTTCTATTTATTTATGTGAACATGCTCATTAAGAATGAGACACGTCTCCAAGGGGGGGAAAAAAAATCAGAAATGGCTAAAGTCGTTTTCAGTGAAAAAACACCTCATCTTCTGTACACAGAATTAATCGTTAATGTTTCAGGTAGTTCATCTTCAGTACAAATAAAGGAACTACAGCCCCTTGAGAAGCTGCGACAGCATGTGCAGAAATGGAGCAAAAAAGGATTTGGAGCATAAAACAGACACCAAAAACAAATGTGTCTGCTTTCTGTAGCGGAGCTGGTGAAATTATTACACAAAACACGGAATGAGGGAGATGGAGAGCTTGAAAGAGAAACAAACCGTTCCTGGATAATCGGATTTGTCTTGTGTGGCTGTTCCACCTGGCCCTCCAAGCCTCTACCTCCCATTCATTAAAAAAAGCTTATAATTAACGCTGCACCGGCTGTAGGCCTGGTCACTCTGTCTTCCCTTTTAAATTGATAGGAGTGTCTCGTGGGTCTGGGGTATGCAGGTAAGCGTGACTGAGTCCCGACTGCTGAGGATCCAGAGGGGATTGTCACCCAAAGAGGGAGCCATCAGTGTGAGCGAGGGGGGTGGCGTGACGGCGTCAGGATTAATTTTGAGGGGGCCTGGTTGCTGAGGCGGGCTGATAACATGGGTCAGCAGTTGCAGGGACACTTGGACCCTGAAGCCCAGAGTGTCTCTCTGGAAAATAAGAGTCAATGTACCCAGAGCTGTGTAAATGTAGGTGTGTGTGTGTGTGTGTGTGTGTGTGTGTGTGTGTGTGTGTGTGTGGTGGGGGGTGGAATGGGGCAGTCCAGAAATAGTTGAAACCTGCAAAAAGTCAATTATATAGATGGAGGAAATGTGGAGGAAAGGGAACCGTGGGTGAAATTAAAAGCCTAGTTCTTGTGATAAGTGGTGACAATGTGAAGTCTTCACCAGAAAAGTGGTCGTAATAGTTTCTGCAAAAACAAAACAATTCCAGTATGTTTGAGAAAGAGGTTCCACGGTGTTTGAAAAAAGATGTTGTATCCTAGTTTGACAGTAAGACTGTGTCGCTGCTGTTGTTGTCTTTGTCAAAAATCTGCACAATCTCAACAATTAAACAGCAGGCCTTCCCTGGTTTTATTTTCTATGAAAAGCTCAGACTACAATACACTGACCTTTTCTCTACGCAGTGTGCCGCAGTCTGACAATAACAGTAAAATAAAACTACTGTATGACTTAATTCCCCTCAGCCACTTCAAAGAAGGCTTTGCATAATCAACGTGTACATTTTAGTCTTTAAAGCAGAATTGCACATTTTTTAGATCAAGGCACAGCCGAGACGTTGCTAATATTTTAAATACAGAGCGTCTGTCAAGAAGGCCATAACAGGTCAACCAGAACAGGACGGGGCACAGAAAGTCAATTAATGCTGCAGACAAAACAAACTAGGGTTTGAAAACACAAGTTAGTACTAACATCTCATGCAACTTTGCAGATTTTCTTTGGTTCATGCATTATGGCACCTTCTTTGGTATTTTGAGTCATCAAAAACATTATCGTTCGCAGTCTCTCAGTTCTAAATGTCAGAACATTATGTTCACTTTGTTCACTGACCTTCCCAAACCCATCAACACTGCAAGCAGCACTAATAACCCAGACACGCACAGCTATGTTTCTATCTCGTACTGTGCTATCTACATATTTGAAACAATGAGCCAATTGCTATGCAATGACCTATTGTTTATTAATGTGCTGAAAGACAACACGTGTGTGTGTGTGTGTGTGTGTGACATTATCAATCAAAACTGTGTGGGGGATTAGAAGAGAGAAGGTGCCACACATTAGGAATGCATTATTATTGTAACTGAAAAGACATTTCATCAGAGGGATGCTACACACAGACATTCACAACTATTTCTTTCTTTCTTTTTTCATAATAAAATGAACCTATGCATGGGCACCAACCACACTGTTGTTTTTGATTTGATTTTTCCTGCCATCAAACACAAATTCCAATCCATGAAACAACACAAAGATGTGCTAATAGACACAGACACACACACATGCACACACACAACTTTTGAAGTCTCTCCCAGAAAATGGGTAGTCTGAGCTCCACTGCGTCAGAGCTCAAAGTTCACATTTTGACGGGTGAGGGGAAACAAGTTGGCGCTTTGTGCTTTAAGGAGGCGCCAGTATTGTGCAGGGAGATAAGGGCTCAGGACAATAGAGAAAGGCTGCATGAGTCTGTAGCCGTCTGGATTATCAGAGTGCAGCCGTGGACAGAGAGCAGAGAAGACGAGAGGAGGCAGGCCCGGCATCTGTTACTGGGAATTATTGTTCCGTGTCGAAAGAAAGCACTCAAATGGGTGACTTCCTGTATTGATTGATGGGTGTTTCAGGGATTAAACCTTAACCTTATATCGATCCAGTCCACTCTGCCAGTGTGGATACAGAGGGAAGGCACTAGTCTCAAGACAGCCGTTACTGGTTTCTAAATTTGAAAGTGCTGTTTAAGGGCCTATTCATCCTCTTTGTATGGGTGAACCGATGGACAGCGGGCTAAACATAATGACACGAAATCCACACTAGTTTCGATGAATGAATTGCGGTGCCATAGAAATATATATACCTGTCAGGTCCTTCAGGAAAAGAAAAAAAATGAATTATTTACAAACAATGTCTGACCCAGATCTGACAGGCAGCCATGTGCATCGCAACTAAAGCGGCGCAGTTAGCTCGCCAATAAGATAGCTGATGTCTCTCACTCAAGTGTTGGCGCTACAAAAGGCTGAGGAGCAGGAAATAGAGGTGATGCAATTTGTCACTCACTCCACGGATGTTTATGTAGGGTGTAACATGAAAGGGAATAAGTGCCTACTCGTATCGAGTACACAGACAATGTTTTGGCAGCTGCAATTAGGCTCTTCGCTGAGCGTGTGAGCATTCGGTGGGAATTGTTTTCCCGCCTTGCAGGCTTCAAGAGAATACACAATAATTTGTGGAGATTAGTCGATGAATGATAGCGACATAATGATGACAGGAGAGGGTGGCGCTTTTGAATGATGGAAACATCATCATTCATGTCTTCCTGGTAGATGATCGGCTGCAGTGTTCCACACTCACACTTTAGCACACGCTATGGCTGAATCTCATTTGCAACAATAAGTGGATCGTGATTGTGATTACGCTTCTGCAGCCTCTTACAAAGTCTCCAAAGTCTCAGAAACACGCTCGTTTTCTTGATTTTAGCCTCATCTGTCCGTTCCATCTTCTCTCTTCCTTGAATCCCTTCTATAAGCACATTTATTACGACTGTTGTGAGAATTGCTGTGAACAATTTTCAGTGTTAAAGCCAATGTGGCAGTGCTCTAAACAGCATTTACTTTAGAAGCTAGATACCAGACTGTACTTTTTAGTACTGAAATGTGTTCTGTATATTGTACTGCAGTGGTTCCCATTTGCTTCAGGCTATGAGGAAACCGAATTATTCAGCAAAAAGAAAAGTGCTGAATAATCATTATATAATATTGTAGACCTATTTGTGTGGCAATTACCTTAACTCTGGCTATTAGTGCTATATCTTCCTTAATCACTCCCTGTCACACACATTAGAACAAA